CATATCGCCGCGAACGTCGCAGTGAGAGCAATAAGTCTAGGGCCATCAATCACTGATAACACTAAACTGATGAGCGGTAAAAACGTTTAAAGCGTCGCCTATGGCTAATTTTGGTTGCGGTCGTTTTCTGCGATGTCGCGGGTGCGCGCAATTTTAAAGCTGGGTAATAATAAATGTTTCCTAACAATGTTAAAAAAAACGTTTTTTCCCCCAAAATTTTCAGTAATTTTTCCTAATTATAATAAAAAATAAAAACCCCAGTGGTGATTAAATATCACCAAAATAAAGCTCTATCTGTCCCCAAAAAATGGTGTAAAATTAATTTCAGTACAGCGTTGCATGACGGAATAAACGTCAGTCAAAGTATCGCAGCGCTGAATACTGAAAAATGGCCTGGCCAGGAAGGGGGTCTAAACACCTGGTCTTGAAGTGGTTAAACAAGTGTTCAGGACTGATTAGATTTAAGAATTTGGATTTGTTTTCCCATTTAGTTATCCAGATAAATGCAGCTATATGAATAAACCTCAAGAACTAGTAGTCAATGACATCCACTTAATAAACAACAGGTAACCATTTTATTTTATGATATTAAATACTTACCTATTTGTTAGTGTGGAAGAAATGGGATGCGTTACATTAGATAATATTGTCCCATGAGTAAGGCCAGTGGGTTGGGGCAGTGTAGCTGGGGTCTGGATCACTCCATTCAAAGCCCCGACAATGCCATTAATAGCCAACTGGTTTGCCGGCAACGCTCCAATTATTGCACCCACTCCCGGCATTGCAGAAAGAGTTGGTGTGACTGTTTGAATGCCACTGGTTAGTGTTCCCATTGTCACACCATTGATTCTTTGGATCCCCTGAACATGCTGGGCTGGACTCTGGCCATCAGGGGGCGGAGTGGAGAGGGATGAAGAGCTGCTGGTGCTGTGCCCACTCGAGGTAAGATCCTGGAAAGAAAATAGACAGATGAGTTTTACCAAGACACTGCCAAAGTTTATAGTAATGCTACATCCATATCAGAGCACTTCGGAGCACTTAGTATTTGCACTAATTCAGAACATTGTATAAAAGGCAATAGAAGGTTTATAACGGTTTCAACATGACCGTATATATTCCTGACACTACAGTATTTTTAGCCATAATGGTTCACTAACATATACAGGTCTTGTGCCTCTCCCAGCCTGTGACTGGACAGTGAAAGGAAAAACGGCAGGCTAATGAGCTCATCTCTCTGTCACTGTACGCTCTCCTCCTATCAGCACTTTACTTGTCAGCACATGAGAGCTGCAGAACAATTAATTGGCTCCCTATGCTGCTTCTCCTTGTCTAAGCTCAGCTGTAAAAGGGATTGCAAGTGGCTAATAACTCAAATTCAGGTACTAGCATTACTACATGACACAGTAGTGCTGTAGGGGCTGGCAGATTGAACCACCGAGTGCAGTGGGGGACCAAGCATTTAGCACTCCTGGAAGTGTTGGATTCTAAAGATTCTTCAAGCAGCGGTACCCCTTCAATACAGCAAAGAGTGGCAGCGCTAAAGGTGGGTATGTTTAAATAAATTGCTATTCTAGTGTCAGAGTGGCTTTAAAGCCCATTTCCTTCTTTGCGGAGGTATTTACAAAAAAACAAAAACATATACCAGCAATGTACACCGAGTGAACATGAAGCAGCCATATGCAGTTACTGTGTAAGTACACTGAAACTTTCAATTTTGTTAGCTTTCCTCTTCATACCAGCATGGAAATGGCCACATTTGTGCTCTGCAATCTGTGTAAGTTACAACTGAGCTCTCTCTGAGCTTCATTAGTATTCATATACGGTAGGTAATCCCACCTTGGGCAGGGCAATGTATTGTGTGCAAAGGCAGAGGTGATGTTTAGTGATCGTGTTACACAGAATCACAGGGGGGAGAGCAGATGTTTACAGGCTGCTTTACAATACGACCCTGGTATCAAACTGAATTTCCTGTGAAGAAAATTTTGAATTTGTAGATTTCAGGACTAATAAAAAGTTAATTTAAAAAATGAAGAAAGCCTGCAATGTGAGTCATGAAAATATACACACATATACATCATCACTGCACCTCTATATTACCACCATAAATGCTTCTCATTTGCAAAAGGTGGACATTTACTTTATGTCAGCTACCATCTCACTTTGATTCTCATTGATCTCTAGAGAACCTGCCATGCTCAAGGTGTGTGTGTTTGGAGGGGGAATAAGATGCTCCAGAGAGCTCCTGCACTGCTGCTGTCCTCTACCACAATCCCCAACAACATGTTCTCAAGAACCTGCAGCCAAGTTGCACAGAAAAGGCACACAATGCAGCAGAACCATTGCTAGCACTTGTATGAAAGCTCCATTGTGCTCGGCTTGTATCCTGGCTAAAAAACAAAAAAAAAACAAGTTACATTCATTTCCAGCCACATACCTGATGTGTGGCATGATGGGCATTTTCTGCGTGGAAATTTCCCAGGTGCGGGCTTTTACTGATGCTCAGCGAATCTGTGGTCGATGCTACAAAAAAGTCAAACATATCATCCAGCATTAAGTACATTTTTTTTTTTTTTTCTAAACTGGTAAAATAAAATCAATCAGTCATGATTGCCATTACTCAGCTATTTTATAGCATTGCAATGAATGAGTCGAAAAGGTTTAAGATAAATTATAACTTTATTGTAACAACTGCTCTAAACACAAGATTTAAAACAACAGAAAGCAACTGGCAGAATGAGCATTTCATAGTGACACATGCCAGAATATTAGGCTTCCGTTAATCTCCTTCAATTCATGACATTTTCTTCCATGTTGTTACAGAGACTCCAAGTGCTTCTTTTGCACTTTATAGACAAGTCAAGTAACGTTGTGAGGTCAAGACACACACAGGAAGACAGGATGAAGTCCAATTTTTTTTACAAAGATTTCTAAATGGTTTGTCCACAAACTGGCCAAGTAACGGATTCCGAGAAGACTTATTTCCAAATATATTGCTTGCGGAAGTACACAGAAGTTTGTGGTATAGATAATATAAAACGGACATGACTTTCCTTTCCTTTTGCAGGAGTAGAAGCCGGTTGTATTTCAGAGAAAGCATATGCACACAACGCTCAATGTAAAATGAAGCGACAACCCCAAAGATGCCAATGAAATTAGGATCTGTATTCCAAAAGTACAAAAAGCCATAACAGAGGGTTTCATAATGACCCTTTAATGGAAGAAGTCTCAACACACAAAAAAGGGCTTCTCTAGAATAAACATTGGATTTCCATAGTTGGATTTAAAAAGTATTAAGAAAACTTCACAATTTACAAGACCGATGGTGACAGCAGTAGCGTAGAAATCCCAGAAAAATCAAACAATTCCAGCCGAGGAATATCAATCTGCAATTAAGATCCTGAAGGTTAGAAAATGCACATGTCAGAGCTGTCCTTACCGTTCTGGAATGGGTATGGGTGCACTTGGGGAGAGGAGTTTGGGTTGGAGGTAATGGTTGGGAAGGGAACAGACAGCTGGGCATTGAGGAGCTGAAGACGCTCTTTTTTGGCATTCAGATTTTTGATCTGCTCCTCCAGTCGCCGGTTCTCCACTTGCAATTGGTGAAGGGATTTCAGCATCCCTAAAACTGATAACAGAAAAAAGTAATCAGGGTCACCCAATTCGTTCAAAGAAATCATTTCACATTCTGCACAACGACAATCTGCAAATACGCAAAATATACTTCCGCAATATTTGATCAAAGCAGAGCTACAATTGGGTTACTTCAAGGATATCTAAACCCCCAACAATGAACTTCTCTTAACAATATTAAGGGGCAGACTTCTAAAGGGTTCGTCTAGTGTACAGCTGGATGAACACTGTCCCCACAGCATTACTGCATAGGAATTTCCTATCCTCCATGGCTACATCTAGCTTGATCCTGCCAGAAGTCTTGTGAGCCGATACCTTCCTATGCTCTCTGCTTGTATTATCCGTTATATTGTTAATCATTAAGCGTAGGACTACAGAACCACACCCTGCATATTATGGAGAAAAGGAGAGGGGCAGGAGTCTGTGGTCTTATCTTGTCTCTGTTGTCTTGCTGCAGAAGGGTGTGTTGTCATCCCATGACTGGCAGAATCACCAGGTGAAACTTAATTAAAAAAAGAAAACAAATGCAGCCACCAAATCTACAGACTGTAAGCTGCAATATATTACATTTTTGTTTTCGGGTTTAGGTACCCTTTAAAGTTAAACTCCAGGCAAACTGCTAAAAACAGGTGAAATACATATATTATACTTTTAATTTTTTGGTCATGTGACCACTATTGCACTGCTACTGCATCTGCAGGGCTGGGGCTGTTGCTGCTGAGAAGCACAGTGTGTTGTCATCACACCCTACACTGAAGGACTTTAGTCCCATGCTCCCCTGTGGTATCAGGCCTGCAGGAGGCATGTGCTGACCAGGTGAGTTGCCCAAAGTGTGGCGACTGCAGGAACACTGAGCATCCACACATCATCCTCGAGTCTAGCCCCAAAGAAGCTCCTGTATTTGTTTGGGCGTAGGGCGTTTTTCAGCGCGTTTCCACGGGCTGCAATACGCCCAGGTGGGAACCATGTCCATAGGGAAGTATGGGATTTCACTGTTTGAGCGTTTTTCAGCGCTTCGATCAGCGCTGAAAAATGCCCAGGTGTGAACCCCAGCCTTACGGTAGGATGACAGCGCTGCAGATGCCATCAGCTTAGCATTGTCAACCTGCTACAAAAAGCACTGAGACAGGTAGGATCTCCAGGTAAAATATATTTGCAAAGTACCTTTGAAATATAGAAAACTGCGCAATCTGTATGCACATAGGAACGTATACTTCTGCAAACCCTCTCCCTCAATAACACTGGCATATTAAGCAACATATGTGACTTTTATAAAGAAAATAAAGAATATCTTTTTAGTCTGTTATGTTAATGGTCATGTGACCTAAATTTCCTGCTCTCTTCCAATCTGAAGGGCCGGGCATTGGACTAAACATAGGCGAACTGGATCATGAGCACTAGTGATGTCCCTATCAGCTTCCTGACCACAAGTCCCAGGCTCCCTTGTGTGGGCACAATGTGCTGTATTCCATATACAAGAGTGTGCACAGTGGAGTGACAATGCTACCATGGCATTAGAAGCGTGTGGTCAGTGTCGTCACTTATAAATAGTCAGCACTGAGAACAAGCTGCAACTGGACGGCTCAACAGTTATTTTAGACAAATTTACAAACTGCAATTAAATTACCGGGATAACTGTATTGTATTTATAAAGAATAAACATTTGGAGCAGTTTTACTTTCTAGGTTTAAAGACAATTTAAATGTGTCAGTAAAGAAAAGCACATCTAAAAAAATCCAGAAAAATTTCAGAGGTTAATTTCTGTCCCCTGGCTATGAAACCAACCACAACTAACACTAAGAACACAATTACACAATGTGCAGTATCAAGAGCCTCTGGAATCATGAGGAAATATTCAATGCTCCTGCTCAGTCACAAAGGGGAAGGGTTATCTGTGCTCCGATTCTGACCACCAATAGTCTTAGACCAGAGATTTCCTGCTCTTTGATGAGATGGAAGGGAACAATTTTTCCCGGCAGGCTCATGTGGTGCCACTTGAGTAAAATATTTACTGGCAAATGTCACCTCAGCTCTGACAACCACCAACTGGTAAAACCAACATAAGCTGGGACCTAAATCCAAGGAAATCCCTTTTCTTATTACATTTCTGCTATTCATATTATTCACATAGAGAACCTGACAGCTCGTGCTTGTTCAACTTTCACACAGCTTCCGTACAGTGCAAACTGGTAAAGCGCGATTCTTAGGTTGCCTTACAAACCTGATTTCCACAATCTGGACCTCACTAGACATAACCTGGTAAAGTGAAGGGATTAAAGCAGCTGCAATAGCGTAATACTCTCTGTGCCTGTCTAAAGGTGGCCATACACTTTACAACCATCGCAAGACCTCAGTCTTGCGATGGTTGTAAAGTAATTTTAAAAATGTACGATCTGCCCATCTTGGACAGGCAGATCGTACTTGCGATGACCGCAATGCTGAACGGGCAGTGTGCGCGTGCGCACACCGGCCCGTTCGGCATTTGTCTCCCGAGCATCATTCAAACCAGCCGAAAATCGCACGATTTTAGTCTGGTTTTCTAGCATGCTCCTTAGACAAAAGAAACGGTTGCACGTCTTCATTCACACTGCACGATCGCGGGATTTCCCGCGATTCTCGTACGAGAATCGTGCAGTATATGGGCACCTTAAGGCAGAGACAAGTCGGATTGCAAACAATGACTGATGGTGAATTGCTAGTGAACACCTCAACTCCAGAGAAAAGCAAGGGAACTAATTCTAATTATTATTAATTACAAAATTACTACAAAGCCATCGACAAATCCGCCCCAACCTACATCACCCACCTCATCTCATATCACCCAAACTGCCCCCTTCACTCTTCCAAAGACCTCCTGCTCTCCAGCTCTCATCACTTCCTCGCATGTTCGCCTCTAAGACTTTTCCAGAGTGTCCCCCATTCTCTGGAACTTCCTTCCCCGATCTATCCGCTTATCTCCTACTCTGTCCACCTTTAGGCGATCCTGGAAAAATCATCTCTTCAGAGTCTATTGAGATAGATACAGTGCAGAACAAAGTATAACAGCTGACGGCGGTCCCAAGGTAAAATCGTCACTAGTCCTCAGCCTTCTGCCTGCTCTATATAATAGCTCTAATGGTTTTGATCAGCATTTTTAGGTGCTTCTAGCATCAAAAGAGCAAGAAAAATACCAATGATACACACTTTAAAATCAGTATGATGAAATTTAAAGATGATCTCCCCAGACATTGTTTTTCAGTTGTGCAATGAATGCATCAAATGCATAAAAATGTACTCATTAAAACAAAATAAAGTAAGACAAAACTACACGCTCTAAAAAATGCACAGCTTCACAAGAATTAACTGAAGCCAATTAGAGGCGTGATTAATTGCACTTCAAATATGACACAATGCAAAAGTGTCATTTAGCCATCAATGTGTACCCAAAGGATCTTTCCTTATTTATATTAATGAGTAACTATTCTGGCTCTAGTGAAAAAAATGAAAAGGGGAATGGTGGGAGGTTGGTTAAGGAAAAGGACAGTGGTTGGCTGAAAAAGAACACAAGTTCTGAAAGTTGTACCTAGAAAAAGACAGGCAAAATACAAGTCACCAGTATGGCCTGTGGTCTCTCAGCAGCTGAGCTTTCCCTATAACTGTCTTACCATGCTTTGTTCTGCACTGGGTCTCTGTGTGGAGGTGGCCATCTTGGTAGAAGTAGGGCCTTGCTTTCTTATGTTGGATCACCCAGTAAGGAGAACAGTGACCAAATATCACTCCACATCTCCTGAGACTGGCATTCAGAGGCAGCAGTGGCTTAGATCTTACACTGTAGATATACAACTATGAGGCTATAGTCACAGGAGTGTCTAGGCACCTTCACATACAGCATACGCAATTCCAGACTAAAAAAAAAACAAAACTTTTTTGGGGGGTGGTGTTTAAGGCCAATTAACATTTCTAAGGTTTTCCTATAACATAGCAAGTCTTTACTTTTTGATTCAGTTCCACTTTCAGAGTAGCAGATTATATGCAGGATCGAAATAAAAAAAAGATACATTTAACAAGAAAAAGAAGGTATATATCCCCTTAGGATGGAGCTTTGAAAACCTCTGGAAGCTGTGCAGAAGTAAACTGCATGATTATTCCGGGGAGCAACCAGGGCCTTTTCTGACTGGCTTCATAGATACTGGGAAAAAGTCCAAAACCCCACAGTGAGCATTTGCAATACAAAGTGTGCCTTCCAAAATAGACCCCAAACTTAAGTGGGGTGGTGTCAAAGCCTATTTATTTCCCCAGATATGCAGTGCTCTAAGCACTACATAAACAGCTAATATGGCTGGCCGCAGCTATTACAACCACTGAAACTGGATTATAGGTCAGAATGTCCAGCAGTTTATTGTATACCTATGGGAGACATAGTTCCTGAGCTTTCTTCACTCCTGACAGCAGAAATGGGATTATTGACAGGACCCTGGAAACAAAGGCTTTCTTGCTGAATGCTTATTTCCTGCCCGGAAAGCACAAGATTTGGAATGTTGTGGTATTAAGTGTTCTGCTGCTCCAAGCTTGTTTGTTGAAAATCATACAGTATACAATAAAGTTCTCTTTGTTTTTGTGACCTCTATTCTGGTAGAGAAACCTCTATCAGGAATGGTCACATCTGGCAATTTCACAAGTACTTAGCTTGACCCGCGGATACAAAGGGGCTCTCAGAGTGACCAAATGAGATGCAGGATGGCCCTGTCGTTCTTACATTTAAAGGATTATCCCTGCATGAATTTCTTCACAATTAGAATTCTGTCAGGATGCTATTCATATCGGAAGATTCACATTTTTCAAAATGTATCTTCTTTCACAATATCTATATCAGGACATTTTGGGGTTGAGCAATTTTCACCCTAGTCAGTTGTTTGTATATGTGTACACACACACACGGTGTGTTTATATATGTAAAAGGAGCCCAAGAGTACATTTATGCTTCCTCTGGGTGCTTTGTCTGGTCCCCATAGTCCAAGAAGATATGGGCTGCCTATCAATTGACCAAATTATTTGTGTTTATGACTGCAGCGTGGAGACGAGAGGACAGACATGATCAGGGTGCTGGCTAATATGTTGACGTTATCTAAATTAAGGAAATAAAATAATATCATCCAATCATAATCCAGTTTACCAGCAGCCTGAGGTGGGTAGACCAATTAAGTGTTAATTTCCAACTGTGCACTAAAGGGGTATTTGCATTGTTATTTAAAAAAAAAAAAAATGGAAATCTAAGTCTTGAATTGTTGAAACTACAAACGCTACTCACTAGACTGCAACCACCCCCAAGTCTGCTCTTTATCTTGGACAGAATTTTGTTTGGTGCTCAGTGCACCAAAGAGATGGCAGAGGACCATGTAGCAGACCGAGGGGCATTGTAGGTAGAAGGCAAAACAGTGCATTAGAGGGAAATCTGGAAGCAATGAGCACAAAGAGCATAAAGGGAACCTGAGCTTGAAGTGAAGGCTGAAGGAGGATAGTGTCATCAGTATGATATGCCCTCCAACCACTGACAGACAGCAAGCATATTTAATGCCACTGGGGTGGACAAGGGTGCTACCAAAAACAAAAAACTGAAGTTCTCTGTAGGTAAGCTGCATGTAATTTGTATGCTCTACTCTGAAGTACCGAGTCCAATTATTCTCCCTTCACCATGCTGCTATTTGTGTTTTTCTTTCTGCTAGTAAAGAGCGGGAATATTGATCTTGACACATCCAAGATTATAGCCATTTAGAATCTGCACAGCAAATAACTAGCAAATACAACTTGAATCTAGTTACTGGTGTGTGAGGGCAAGCAGATGAACAATAAATGAAGCAGTATACGCTGTAGCTTATAGCTTTATAATTCCCCATACTGCCAAGTTAAAGAAAGTGATCTGGGGAACCTCTGGATAGTAAAGCCTGGTATAGGGTCCAAAGCCACAGATAATAAATATGTCCCTGATGTGTAATTCAGCTTGCTTCTTGTTACAGATTAATTACTTTAACACACACAGTATATTAAAATATGGATTTCATGGCATACTTGTATTATTTGAAAACAAAATGCTAAAAGCCCAAGACAAACACACAGAGCATCAGTCATTCTGCATTTAAAGCTGAAATGTAAAACAAATATTATCTACATATAGGAGACAAGTGTATTCTTACTGGAATCTTGGTGACCTCTGGTTATTTCTCTTAGGAACTATGTAGTAATAGTAGGAATCCCTGTACTTTGCAGGAGTTTACTGTAATAGATAGGGATGCAACGATATCGGTTTTCCGATATCGAGTACCAATATTTTTTTGTTCAGTACTCGCCGATACTGAATACTGATAACGGAAGTCCCATTAAGAAAGCAGGGCAGCGTGTAATAACTCACCGCCCAGCTTCCTGATTAGCCGGGCAGTGTGTAATGACTCGCCACCTGGCTTCGCGATTAGCCGTCCCCATGCTTCCTCGTCATCCGGTGACGAGGAAGCATGGAGCCAGCTTTCTGGCCAATCAGGAAGCTGGGGTGCGGGTAATGACTCGCTGCCCAGCTTCCTGACCAATCAGGAAGCCGGGGAGCCAGTCATTTCATGGCGCCCGGCTTCCTGATTGGCCGGGAAGCCAGCTCCATGCTACCTCATCACCAGGTGACGAGGAAGCATAGAGCCAGCTTTCTGGTCACCAAGTGACGAGGGAGCATGGAGCCGGCTTCCTGGCCAATCAGAAAGCTGGGCAGCGTGTAATGATGCGCCACCCGGCTTTCTGATACCGACAGTTCAGGATAGGCATCGGGAGCATTTGGGCAAGAACTAGTACTCACTCCAATTCTCTGTATCAGTGCATCCCTAAAAAGACCAGGCACTCCTGCTCTCTTCCCTTGTACAGGGTGACTGGCTTTGTATCCACCCGCTCCTGTAGTTTTCTGCAGGAAGCCCATAGTGGGTGGGCCCTGCTGGGTTCCAGCCATAGCTCTGCTTTTTGAACAAGCTATCTGCAGCCAATATTTGGGTTAGCAAAGGTATTTATGTATACAAAGTAGATTTATATCCATTGTGACAATTAAGCAATATGTTTAAATGCATGTTTAAAGTATCTGTGCCCAGTGTTCAGCTTCAACAATCCTGCAAAGGAAACAATGTCAGTTTAAGCCCCATAGATTGATTTATTTGATTCCCTTACACACACAGCACACTTACTGTCATTGGTGGCCCCTTGCTCCTGTAAGAACTGCTGTCCTTCACTCCACTGTCTCTCCAGCAGCTGTTCTATACTGGTAACAACTGAAGGGACGCTCTCCCCACTACCGATCCCCGACTGTTCATAGCGTGCTGAAAGGCTGTTCAGAGGAGACCTGCCACGAGAAGACAAAGATACAAAGAGGTATGTTTCAGTGTAACAAATACACAATCAGAATGTTCCATTCTTTTATTCTCCTCAGGTCATGTATGCTAATCTAAAACAAAGTACATTGTAATATATTAAATAGATCTGTTTCTTAAATATGGAAAAATTCACTTTGTGTGAAAGAGCTGGCTGTTATAAATATTAGAAATGTCTTAAAATATCAATAACTAAATGTGCCGAGCTAATTGAGTTATTCATTTTTCACGAATACACACGCACAGTGGGTGTACATTCTAGTGCCTTGTAGCTGTTTGCTTATTGGCGCAGTCCATTATAAAGACGGTCCTTCCTTCCTTCCCCTACAATTTGATGCCTACCAGTTACTACTAGAATCAAATAACCCCAAATGTCACTGGAATTACGCTGTTCATAGGCAGATGATAAGTCACCCGAGCTTACACTGACTTCTGCAATGAAGAGGTGATGCATATTTCTCAATAGTTCCCTTTTCTCTGGAGAAGAGGAAACGACTCTCAATAGACCAGTAAAACAAAACGGTTTTATCAATAAGGGGGAAGAGAGGAAAAACTGCATTTACAACTACAATATGTACAAAAGGCACACGGTGCATAGATATTTCCAGGCTGTGTTGGTTCACCCTTCCATGAAGAATGTATCAACATGAGAGTTGAGAAAAAATAGAACCATAAATGTATTATAAGTAATACTAGTGAGGTAGGACAAAACCATAGAATCTTGAAGCAGTCAAAGCTAAACTCCAAGTTTAATACACCAAAGAAATGCATATATGGGAGCGGTTTTACTTGCCATGTGATTTGTATTTCTGTACCTTTTAATCTTGAGATTTACACAGCTCTGCCACACAGCACAGCCCTATCTGGCAGGGCAGGAGATCTATTTTTTTCTCTGCTGCAGGTAACACTAAGGCCCCATTCACACTGAGTGATTTGCAAATCGCGCGTTTGTCACGCGATTGGCATTTTGGGCGATGTCGCGCAAATGCTTGCATTGAGCAAGCTAGAATCGCGGCAAAATCCGCTCCAAAAAGGGTCCTGCTGTAGCGACGCACGACCCGCGACAGCGACGGACAGAGCCCCATTGCCATGCATTGGAGAGCGATATCGCGCGGTAAATAGCAGCGATATCGTGGGAATTACCGCGCGATAAATCGCTCAGTGTGAGCGGGGCCTTACAGGTCTTGTTCTTGCCCCAGCCTGCAACAGTGAAAGGATAAGCAGCAAACTGATGAGCTAATCTCTCTGTCACTATGTTGTCTACTCCTATTAGCATGCTTCATGTTAGCACATAAACACAGCAATGGATTAACTTCCCATGCTGCTTCTCCCTCCTCTAGTTTGAGCTTTGCTGTACAGTGGATTGCAAGAGAAGGAAAACCCTTTAAATACCATTACTTACACCGCTTGCATTTATAAATACATTTACATATTTATTCATGAGTGCAGAGCAGCAGTAACTTGCGTCTTTTACATCTCCCTGGTGTTCAGTTTTAAAGAAGTTTCTTCCTGTCCTTTTTCAGCTAAGCCGGATTTGTATCAAAAATAACCAAAATACAGAACTACAGCGCAATATCAGAAAAACAGCAGCACCGCCTGTGCGAACAAAATACTATATCCGGGCACCCCATAGGTGTAACCGTCTTATTCAAGCTGCAGATTATAATCTCTCCCAGCTATAGAAATGGAGATGCAATTGTTAAAGCTCATTTGCAGTCTCACACCTTTTAATTTCTTTAGTCCTGAACCTCCACGTTATGATTTGTGACAAATTTGCTTGGAAATGGTTTAAAAAAAATATCTGAAGATGCTGCTTCCTACCCTCACACCCAGTGCCCTGTGCTGGCAGAGCCAATAAACAGCAACATTCCTCATCTCTAGTGTTCTCACACAGACATGTACTGCTGATAAGGGGATTGGGTCTGTAAAGGTGCCCATACACCTATCGATTATCTTACGGAAATCGTCCACGAATGGTCTTTCGCATGATAATCGATCAGTTGATGGGAACCCAACAATTTTTTTATTTTACTGTACTCCAGGCAAAATTTTCTCAAAGGGTCAGGCTGGAAAACTTTTTTCGAATCGAACGAAAATCGATGGATTTGTGGCGTCTTTGTACGAAAAAAAAAAAATGCAGCAAGAACATTGCGCAAATGAAAATCCGTTCCGTCGATCAATGAATTTCAGCGAGTTAGTATTGCTAACGAACGATCGAAACAACATTGGTCTGTGCATGATGGGGTATTTGAGCTTGAATGGAAAGAGGGTTCTTGGCAGCAACGAAAATTCACGAACGAAAATCGCAGAATGTATGGGCAGCATTACTGAGAGCACTGGGTCTTTTTTTGGTGCCTATTAAATGGCACAGTCATATCTGGTGTGGGGTAAACTATTGTAACAAAAAAGTGGAGACAATATTATTAAACTTTTACTACAATGCCAACTTGACTGCATATCGAATTCTGTAACTTCAACTGGGTAATTATATTTACCCAACCCGTCCTATTCATTAAAAAAGGACAAAAGTTTTAGTTCCATATAACTTGTGTTCTGACGAGTCTAAATATACTGCAATTGTTGTTGTAATTCATTGCTGTTTTTAGGATTTGCAGTACGGCCACCAGAGCATCACATAACCGAAAGCAATCTTTGTTTAAAAACAACCAAAAGTCCGGATAAGCATCTGATGACAAATATCCTTCCTGTGCGATGACATACTGTTTAATTACTAATATTCCAACAATAACAAAACAGGATCGCTTGTCTCGTCCAATTTAACATCAAAGAGCTTCACTTCAATGAAACCTCTGCACGAAAGCATCGAACATAAAAAGAAAAAAAAAAACAAGTCAAATCCTACAGCGACGCAAACCTTGATTGTGTGAAAGAATGCGGAACGTTGGTTGTTTTCCAGCACGCAAGGCTGATAATTGTCCGGCTCCTGACATTACCATACATGCAAAACAGAGCTTTACCATTGAAAACAGAGCTTGGCGGAGAGCAGGTGTCTCTTGCTGTGCATCACCTAATGGGCCCAGGGACCAGCCCCCCGTCTCCCGAGCGAGATACAATTTCCCTAAAAAATGTACACGGGATTAAAAAGCTGTGATCAGTCTCTCAACTGTCAGCCGAGCTCCTTCACAGGAGAATCCCCATATTGAAAAACAAATGCAAAGTATTCTCCTTGGGACTGCTAGTCAGTCTGACTTATGATCGCAGGCCGGCTACCAGGAATCTGGGGCCCTCAGATGAATTGCTGGGACCGTGATGGACGAGCACTTCTAAGGAGAGAGAATTCAGATCCACGGGGGAAGAGTCTCGAGTTGCTGAATAGAGGAGTACTCTATTTTCACAGCGTACAAAGTCCTGCCCCCACCTCTTTAACTTATTTATTTGATTAATTACCCCATTGATGGAGAAAACACACACAGTAAGCTAAAAGTGTCACCCCCACCGCAAATATTTGAACATTAGTACTGCTGTCAGTGAGTCCTCAGTTGTAGAAAATGTTCCTGTACCTAGCAAGAAAAGCTTTTTATTTAATCAGGAGAATAATCATTCAGATGGAAGGACTTGACAGCAGAAAGTAAATGCCCAGCTCATGTATAAAGATGGTGTGTTTGAAATCCAGAAGGGTTTCAAATGGTTTCATATTCTGACATTAGTGGGGACAAATGATTAGAAATGTCTAAACTATATACATAATAAGAGGCCGCAGATCGTCAAACATCTCAACGAAAAAAGGTGGTGATGAACAGGCTCGTCTTTGAACCCAATACTGCTTCATCAGGACCCACCGAGATGCACTCTCCGACTTGGTAACAGACAAAGGCAGCCATACGTGTAGTAACGAGCATCTTTCATTTTTCCCTACAGAATAAGGAAGGTTCTTCGCTCGTAGCAGACAGATCCTCTCACAGATTATAAAATCTCATCATGCAATAACACGTGCCTCTGAAGAAGATCATTGCTCTATGGGAAGAGTGAAAAAGCCTGATCCTTATCTGATCGCTGCCAATCAGGAGCATTGCTTGCAAAGTATGTCTAACCTTATGCTGGTCATAGACACTGCAATTTCCTGAAAATTCCAACCACATTTCCAAATCACAAAAGTCAACCGACTGGATAAAAGCACCCTTCTGCCAACATTGTGAAATGGTCAGCACTTGGTGGTACGATGTCTTGATCCAGTTGATTGCCTCTGCAAACGTAGGCTGATTGAAAATAGTTGAGATAGCTGGAAAATCACAGCTGGTCAGTTGTCTGTCTGACATTTCAAATAGACACCAACAGGTTTAACCGACATAAAAAAGCATATAGAGGTCGCCACAGCTGAAAATGCTAGTTCCCTGGCTGTCATGCTTATATTCGGTCTTTAGTACTCCATGTCACTGACACATAAGTATACACGTAGGGAATTCTGACTTCTGAGTCAAAAATCTTTAACAAGCATGAAGCAACTCTGCAGTATTAAATCTAGGCAAGTCTCAGGTGAGGAAGGGTGTAGACCTGAAGGGCCATTTTTCTAAGACCGCAATCCCTACTGCCTGTATAGCATGGGTAGGCAACCTTGGCACTCCAGCTGCGGTGGAACTAGAAATCCCGTCATTCCTCTGCCTTTGGGGGTCATGCCTGTGGCTGTCAGAATCTTGCAATGTCTCATGGGACTTTGCAGTATTACCACAGCTGGAGTGCAGAGGTTGCCTACCCATGCTGTATAGGGTAACATGGTAATTTCTACTATGTTAGTAAATTTATGAATGTATACTATGTACCTGACTTTGTATATTGGATGGATTGTTCAATACCTGCTTAAAGGAACCCATGGTCTAGCAATATTCTGTTATATAATTCTATATCTCTTACATGAAATGTGCATAAACGTTGGGTGTTCTAGTCCCGTCTTTTTTTTTGGAGCATTTTATGAAGGGGACCAGCAGTCTCATTCCCTGGATTTCTTTATCTTGATAATAGATGAGCTAACTTTTTATTTCTGATATTTTTTCCATAATTAAAATGTGTTGTACCTGTAGGGACACTTATCACACAAATCCCAATGTTTACTATGGAAGACAGACTGGGCTAGAAAGCGGTCCAATATAACGCCCAAAATCCTATTTTACCCCTGGATCTTCTCACATGGTTCTAACATGCCTCATGTCCAGAATGCACAGCTGTCAGCCAATGACATGCTACCTTTCTTGCTTAAAGTGCATCAAAGCAACCTATAAGGTGAACATGATCCTTTCAGACATGAACATAAGAAGTGCTCCCATAGGACACTGAAACATTGTCTGGCGGTGGTAGATCAATCTCTGGATGTGCATTTGTTCATGTGATGTCATCCATTGCTGAGTAAGCACGTTGCCCATCCTGCCTTCCATTACCTTTATTGGCTGCACAAGATGGATGTCTCAGACTAAGGGTAAACGCTTGCTGCTCTTCAATTGGAGCTTGCCATTAATTGACAAAGTAACAAATTATTTGCTTTAAGCGCTGTTCATTTCATTTAGAGATGTCAATTAAACTGTTAAAAGCTTTACATACCGTTTTTGTTGCCTTTTGGGTGTTTTTCTGGAAACAAAAATTAACTGGTTACAGTCCAGGGAATATTGACAGGCTTTTCACCATAAATGTGTCTGTGTGCTTAGGTCTGCTGTAATGAACAAAATAAACTGCTGCCTAATGTACTCAAATTCCTGGTGCAGTCCCACATTTAAAGATTTGTCTCTGGAAAGAATGTTGTCTTGAGGACACACAAACCGCTCAATCATGCAGCCCACAGATGGAGGAGGACACTCTGGCTAGATGTAGGGTCAGAACAGGTGGCAATCTCACATCCATGGTAGATGGCCACAAGTTGATTGGATAGAACACCATACCTGAGCACCATTATGCTCCCTTGTGATAAGTAGCATTGGTAGATTCTCCTTGTCCCCTTCCACTCTTGATAAACACACTTACTAGGTCCACAGAACCATCCCTGAACTTCTATGGAGTACTATGCAGTGATTGGACACCTTGCTGCCGAGTGCCGTCTCCTGTGCTGAATGCCTTCTAATGTCTGTGGCAGACCAAACCTCTTTGGTGAATGTGTTTCACCACATTTCAATCAGTGCTCAAATCTTGGCTTATTAAATTTGATATTCTGAAATAAATACTGAAATGATAGTTTACTAAATCAATCAAATTTAATATTGTAAGGCTGGGCATTAAAAAAATTAAAAGGATATAGTTCATAACAGACAGAATATTTCCCTACTGAAGTTGTAAGAGGCTTTTTGTAGGTTTTGACATATTTAGACTGGTTCTCCAAATCAAGCTTAAACTTCAAACTGTAATCCATGGTAGTTTCCCTTCTCTTTGCTGCTCTTCCTTTTAAATCTGTATCTGTTCTCATGCTGGGCAGAACTTCTGTTTTGCAGCAGACTGCCTTGTCTCTGGAATGGATACATTGCGTCTGTGTGTAGGTTTGCAACCTGAGCCAGCACTACAGGGAGAGGCACTCAGCTGCAAAGGGAAGTTCCCCCCAGCATGAGAAGACATGAGGATTTAAAAGGAAGATCAGCAAAGAGAAGGGAAACTACCATGGATTACAGTAAGGCACACATTACAGTATTGGTGTATGTTAAAAAATCTAAGGGTTTAATGTCACTTTAACTCAAGTAAGCTAGTGTCAATACTGGAATATGGACTGGTATTGGCCTTTGTACAGCAAAACTGAGTTAGGGGAGGAAGGGGCAGCACTAGAAACCAATTATGAACTGACAAGGAGCATGTGGACTGGGGGGAAAGGACAGAGAAAAAATGATGCTCTCACCAGTTGTTTGGGGACTCAAATCACTGTCAAATCACAGGCTGGGAACAGGCAAGTCACCAAGTTTTATCAGTTAACTGAAGCAGAGAAAACTCGGGTCACCAACCTTGCTTAAGTGACTGGGCTTTCACAGAGACTGGATGGATAGAAAACACAAATCCATTGGAGTTCAGCTTTAATACATAAAAATGGGTTTCCTCAAGAGACAGCACAGCAGAAGCTGCCATCTCTCACGCTTGTTTTGTCCCAATACAACCTCTGACAAAGGATGTCATTGCAGTCTCATTTTTTTTTCAGGTGTAAACTGCCGCTTTAGCTATTGATCTCTGTAAGTGACAGGCTCCCAACATGTAAAAAGGAGCCGACTGCTGACAAAAAAAATATTGATATACACTGAGGCCGATTTACTAAAAGAGTTATGAAGATTCACTTAAATTATCCAAACAATTGAAATGCAAATCCTCAACACCGTTAGTAAATGGGCTTCACTATATCATATATACCAGATAAAAGAAATGTTAAGGTTGTTATTTCTTAGTCCGAACCAGAATATAGAAGATATGTACAAAATCTCTATACATTTCCTTTAATTAGATGCTACAGAAACCTATGACACTCATAGAATAAGTGCTAGCAAGTGTGCAAACATCCCCTTTCCTAACAGTATATGTCAGCTGGTCCCGTCGCTGTCAGGATTCTGACAGATGGAAAAAAGAAGAGGTAAAAAAACCTAATTAGGCACAAAGATGATTGAACTTAACTAAATATAAATTCATATACAAAAAAAAAAGAGGTGCCAGAGGCACAATGGTATAGGATTTACTAGCTATTAAAAGACAACTAATATCAAAACACGGTACGGCAACCAATGGGAAGCGCTTTTTCATTGTTCTGAGCGCTGTAAACTAATGAAATGTGACTGGTTTCTATCAGTAATTGCATCACTGCTCTTTGCACTCTTTGTCTTTCTTTTAGCCAACGATTAAATATCATCCTAAAATGAATTCATCCCCCCTCACAGAATCCCAGCAGCCGCTCCCCGCCTTGCACAGACTGTCAGCTTTTCTCGTCTTTATTGTTCCTTGAAATGTCAACAAAATCACTGACCTCTGATGAGAGGTTTGCTCATTTCATAGTGTTTGATGCTGTGGAAAGAATACTCACCGCGGAGATAGGCTTCCTCTAGGGGAGGTTCCCCTCAGAGCCAGACTGCGCCCATTGTCTCCTAGATCTTGGTCTGTTAGGAAACAGGTCATAAGACATGGACATATTAGTACAAGGTGACTGTTTATATGGCAAGTCCTCACATTAGTATTACCACTCAGGCCTAGATGTGGGGAAGGGCCGCCTTCACAGAATTTACATCTACTTTATGAAAGCAGGCTGCCCTTCGGTTCATTATCTAACCGCATTTTCCTTTCTATGCAATTCTACAAGGGTTAAAAACCATGGCCAGTACACATGAAGGCCAGACGTGCATAGGGATTGTCAAATCATCCCTCCAATAACAACGGCTTATGAATGGCGCATGTTTTGCGGCTGCTTGATGGGTAAAGAGCTTCTTCTTCTCACCTTACCTGGTCAGACTGGTAGCCCCAGATCATGTGTAATTCATAAGCATCCCTTATTAAAGTGATGGTTTGACAACCCTACTTCATGGTTACCTTTGCATGGGGGAGCCACTGAAAAACAACTGCTGTAGTGTTAAAGCCTACCACTGTTTTTGATGAGACACACTGGAACAAGTCTTTTGCTCAGCCTTCATGTACTATACCTCTATATAACTTTTGAGCCCCAGAATCAGCGAGAGCTGAGCGGGGTGTCAGGACCACCTGTATGTACAGGGCCTTATTGAAAAACCCATATCATGGGGTCACATTTATTTTACATGGGGTGCGTACAGGCTGCACATTAACAAATATCTGCTGGCCTGTGGGACCAGATAACTAAAATTGTATTTGCTGTGATTGTCGGGTGTTCAGAGGTTTTAAAGTGTTCCACATCATATACCAGCAATCGTTTGCATTCCAGAGGTATACTGGGTTCAAACACGGAACACCACATTTAACAGATCCCACTTACCTGTAGGAAGTGTTGTGCTTGTGTCCCCTCAGTGACCAAGTAGGACACAAGCAAGAATTTAACACTTAGCAAACTGGGAATATACATTGTGTGTAGCTTTAGCTGGCATTACAATGCATGGGGATGTGCCAAAAGTGGTTATGCAAAAGCATTCTGTCCTGGGATTTCTACCTGGGTCTGCATCAATATTTAGGGGTCAATCTGACTTGGGCTAGGTTATACCAACGGCCATTCTACTGTCTGATGAGATACCTCACTCAATTCTTAAACTGGCCATTTGTGCCCGAATGTTGGCTAACTCCTGCTGAATCGGCTGATATTCAAGCTGGGGGTGGACCCATCGGCACTACCAAGTTCACCAAACTTTGATTATAAAATGACCAGGTGGAAATACATTGGCTGAACAGTGGCTGCACCCAATCAGAATAGCTGGCAAGGGAGATTCCTCCATCCACATTGTTTATCGTTGGCAGGGGGAATGGAGTAAAATCTAGGCTAGCTTCAGATGGCACTGATGGAGCTGAAATTAAACCACAGTAACACACTGAAACTACATCATGGAGGGGCGCACTATCCTGACCAACAGAGGCAACGGCAGACAACTTGTAATGTCACGACCTTCATCTTTTAAAGTATTCTAAACAACCGCTTAGCCCTTGCTTTGCTGGGAAAGGGGGAGGGCAACACATATTCTTTTAGAAAAAAATGCAAGCAGTGTGAGGGAGTGTGAGAAGCAAAACAAGGAGCCAATCAGTTGTGGTGCAGTGCAAGTGACATGCTGATAGGGAGAGAGAGCAGAGTGTCCGAGATGAGCTCTTTAATCTGTTTATTCCCACTCCTGGGCTCCTGCCTCTGGCGATACCTCTTGTAAGAAGCCTACATTTCTAAACTTGACATGCTTACTTTCAGCACGTGATTATCGCCCAATACATATACCCCCCAATCCCAGCCTGATTTCTGGGGCACAGTGAACTATGGAGTATAAACCCACTAGCAGTATTTCAAATACATTTAATGATTTTCAGAAAGACACAAATGGATTAAAGAGAGTTTTATATTAGCTTGGACTTTTGCTTCCCTGATTGCTGAACCCCTTTTTCAGTCACCCAGAGAACAGCACATACAACACATACAATTCTACCATTAAGATAGTAAAAAAGATACACAATTTGATGAAAGAAGGATTCTGCATTAACAAATTCATGTTTTTTTATTTGTAGGTGTCTTTTACTCATGCTTTACCCATTTAGAGAAATACGCCTTGAAATCGAGTGAAATGACCCAATTTTACATAAACTATGTGTTGCCAATTAATAATTCCCAGCTCCCACTGAGCCGGGGACTTTGACATCACAAAGCTTTTTATGCGGCTCACAGCAGGCTGGCTGGAGTGTGTGATCTAGATTTCCTCAACGTAAGCTACATCCGAAAACGTCGCAAACAACGGCAAAATGAAATAGGCAAAGTATGGGCAATGTAAACATGACAAACATGGAGGTTTCATGCCCCTGTACAACCCACAAAGAGGGAACATCCAGTAATATCCACAAGCACTGCAAACAGCCTAAACCAACACCTAAAGAAAAGGTGGTGAAACTTGTGTTATCGATTCTCATTAGACATATATAACCAACATAAAAAAAAAAAAATAACAATACTATTTAAAGCTGCAGCGTACTACAGGTATTTATATAGCGCCAACAATTTACTCCTCACTTTACATACTATTCACTAGGGATGCACCGATACTTTTCGAGTACCAATGCCGATACTTAGCATTTTCATGAGAACTACCAGGGTTGCAGCTGGGACCTGGCTCTGGTGCTCCACCACTGTCCTGAAATCATTAGTCTGTATTGTTTTAGAAAAACAATGCCCCATGTGCTCCAAGATGGAGACTCGCATAGTTTAGAGTTAGGACCGCACTATATGGAGGGGCCTTGGCGTGGCTGTGCGGGTTTCACATTTTCTGCAGAAGACGTATCGCTAAACATCTGCTTTTAGCCTTAGTGGTTAGACAGGTTTTTTTTGCATGCTGGCAGGTGAGTGTGCCTGGAAACTTTATGCGGTTTTACAGTTTTAGAAAAACTGTCACACATGACAATAAACAAATGTATAAGTACCTGTATCTGTAAGTACTTGGACAAGTATCTGTACTTGTACTCGCAAAACTGGTATTGGTGTATCCCTTTATATATGTGTATAAAAACAAAATCCTAAACTAAAACAGAGATGTACAAATCCCAGGAGCTCCGTGTGCTCCTTACAAATGACAGCGGCCTCCTAACTTTTGAATTTTTCTCTAGTCTAGGAGCTGGAAAAGTATCTGTACATGTACCGAGTGCTGTACTTGGTATCGGTGCATCCCTACTATTCACTCACATCAGTCCCTGCCCACAAGGAGCTTACAATCCAAGATCCATTCAACACATACATACATACATACATACACGTATACACATACTAGAGCCAATTTAGGCTGAGGCCAATTAACCTTCCAGCATGTCTTTGGAGTGTGAAAGAAAATGGAGTCCCCAGAGGAAACCCACACAAGCTCGGGGAGAACATGCAAACTCCATGCAAATGGTATCCTGGCCAGGATTTGAACCAGGGCGACCCCCCCAGTGCTGCAGGGCAGAAGTGTTAGGCAATAGACTTTTTGCTGCACATTTTCCATGAATTTCAGTTTTATTCAAGTTGCTCTTCTTTCAATCTTTGAAGCTTCTTCGCAGCTCCTGTGATGTAGAATACACGTTGGGGTAGCCTACAAATGCTAAAAGGTATAATGTGCAGAATCGAGACGGAAAAAAAACCCAGGGCTTGCAACAGAGTAACAGGACAAGAAACAGGGACAGTGTTGTCACCTTAACAGGAAGTGCCGGGACAAGGACCATCACGGCAGGATCACCAGGGATTATATTAACAAAGACTGCAGATTTAAGAAAATTAAAAATAACTTTTAAAATGACATTAACATGTTAAAGCTTATGTAAGAATTGGGGTGTTCTTTATGCTACCAAGAGATTTAAGACAGCGCTCGCTCCATCATGTTTATAATGACTCTTCTCCACTGAGAAAATTGTACTTTTGCGCTACATTCACATAAGAAACAAGGCTCCTGTGTGTTTTGTTATATTTAAAGTGGGAAAATATGAAAACATTTTGTAAGGTGGAAAATGGACAAACAATTCTACTGCAGACTTTTTCGAGTGCCATTGGTCTTTTAGGAGAATCTCTATAATAAAAGCCGATGGTTTTCATGAAGGATTCATGTCGGGAAAAATATTCTATGTTGATACAGTTATTCCATAATGACAGTATTGAGCGTACCAATTCCTTTTTTTTTTTTATTTCTAACATCTTTATTTCATTACCCGCAGACCAAGCTGACCAGTAAAAGTGACAGGTGAGATATGCTTGAGAAAGAGGCTCCACGCCCCAAAACGCTGTGTTTCCGATAGTCCTCTTATTTGGCAGCACATGAAGGGTTAAGGACTGCTCAATTCTGGTTATTCTTTGCTGTATTTACGTCTATACAATATACTCACTGTTGTTAGTTCCCACGGACTGCGAAGGGTTCCTGATTTAGAACAATGCTATCAATGGATCTTTTGCGAATGGTAATCTATGTTTAACAGCATGGTGATATGTAATAAGTACCCTTATCGTAGAATCTGGTGTAGACTTGCTATGTAAAATTATAAGCCATCGTAATTAGTTTCGGTGGGCTGGCTTTATGGTTCTTTATGTTCTAAAAGGCATGGTATAGAGTTTTTAGCATCCTTAGTCACACTTTTTCTTTTTATGATATTGGGTGTGCAGACTATCTGATATCACTAGTCAAAGTGACACTAAACTCAGGAGTTAAATCTTAAAAATGCATTCAAGTACCCTAACTATTAACAAAAATGTACCTTATTTGTGTATCACTCGGCTGTAGATCCTCAAATCATCTCTGAATTGGTGGTGACACTGTCCTTCCTTCTGGAGGGGGGCTACTTTTGTTCCCCATGGTCCCTGTGTGTTGTAGAGTAGTCACCGCTACAAGCTCGCTCCCGGGATGGACTACAATCTCAATACAAAGGAGTAAACTAAATATTAGATTGTAGTCCATCACGGGAGCGAGTTTGGACCAGTGGCTACTTTACCACACAC